TACTTATAGACAAGAATAGCTTCTACAAGCTCTAGCTTATTAAATAGTATAATTATTAGAAAAGTCTAACGAGAATTTTGTCCCAACTTTTCCTTTCACCTTGCCAGAAAAATAAGTCAAGAACGGGCTCTACATGGGCTAGCTTGGTAAATAGCATATAAAAGTTTAACGAAAAAATTATATATCACAAAAACAATTCTGGCAATCTCTAGCTCATAAAAATGATCTAATAAATCTAATAAAAAAATATAAGCAATATACACGTTACATCACCTGCTATACCTTTGATATATTCTAGGATTAAAGCTTCAGCCCACAATCTATTATGGTACTGGGTAACGTAGTACCCTCTGATATGTGCTGGGCATCATCTACAAGCAGAGGCTGTAGGCTTTCCGCAATCAGAACATGGTACTCATTTTTTAGCTTTCCAATGAAACTGACATCCTTCAGGCCTAGTACTAGCATTCCCACAAGCCTTTCCGGTATTGCAGAGAAATGGGCAAAAATATTCACCGATCATCCTACTTTTTTATTACTAGATTCGAAAAGATTAATTAATAATTAGTTAATAATTCAGTTTTGCAATAGCTAGAATCACTTTAGAAAGCTTGTAAATACTTATTATCGGTTTTTACTAGGGTTTATATGATCGAAAATTGATAAGTACATATAAAATAATTAATTAAAGAAAAAAATTTATAAGTAAGTAATAGTGTAATGGTTAGAGATAACACCATGGTTAGAAAAACAAGAAGCGATAAAAAAGATACAATCTGCAAATATTGTGGCCATGAATGCTCAACACCTCAAAAACTTCGTGAGTATCTTAAGCGAAAAAATCTATACAAACTATTACAAGATCAAAAGAATGTAGCTCCTATTCAAGTACCAATTAAAGGGCCCATTCAAAAAGCTAACCAACAACCCATTCAAGAGAATATTCAAGAAGCCGTTCAAGTTGCTACCCAAGAACCCATTCAAAAGAATAGAGACTATATTAGCTAGAAGGAGACAGACAAATGTGTTAACCCAAATGCCCAAAAACCTGGTGAACATTTTAGAACATGGGGAACATGACTACAAAAAAGATGGAAAGAACTTGGTCTAGGTGAAGATGAATGTCTTAAAACAAATAACTTGGATGACTGTATGACTCTCTGTTATGATCTTGAACAATACGATCCAGAAGCAGTTAAACCACCAACAAAAGACCTAGAATTTAGAGAGCAAGAAATAGGTACAGCAGTTAAAAGAAGAGCCATAGCTATATATCATACAAAAGTTCCTAAATCTCATCCAGATAATGGAAGTGATATACGAAAAATGTTAGAAAGCCGAAGAAAGCAGTTTAGGGAAATACTTGAAAAGGAATTTGATAAGCGTGGACAATTTAAGTTTGCTCTTTGTTCTCTTACCAAATTTTTTATTGATAATAAACCCGGGAATAATAATGCAAAAAAAAAGAATTTACGAACTGACTGGCTTAGAAATAAGCAAATTATAGTCTATAATAGAGCTGAAATAGATGACTACTTAAGCAATGCTTTCGAAGAAATCCTATACCAAGTAGAGGAGAGAGGAGGTAAGACTAATACTTGAGAATATATTGAGGGGGTAATTGTGTATCCTTCACGATTTGTAGCTCTTCTCTCATAAATGAGCGTCTAGAACTATTATAAAGTTTATAGAGAACAGGTTGATTTTCTTTTATCAAATAAGAATTAATTGTAAAGACTTCGGGAGACCAATTGCAATCAGTTGCTCTTCTTCTACCACCTTCTAATTCACCAGGTTCTAAAAGGTGACGAACTTCTGTATAACTAGGTAAAAGTGGTTCATTATAACCAATTGGTCTTCTATGCTTTATCAAAGGTCTAGCTATTATTTTTTTTCCTTTTAATGCTTGTTTTATAGCTTCATTAGAAGGCATACCTATCAATTGGGTAGGAGTATTATTATAAATATCATCATTTATACAAAGACTCTTAACCCATGCTCTAGATCTATCAGTTAAAGATCTTCAGCATTTTGCTAAAAATAAGTATGCTTTTCAAATTCTTGATGGTCACGTTCAGCAATAGCTACACCACGTTTAGAATTAGCATACTGAATTTTTACACCATGACTAAGTAATAAATCTTTACACTCGCCCAAAAATTTTGTACCTTTATCAACAATTAAAACATTTGGCCAAATAAAAGGGCAATTTGGGTTATCATAAATTTTTTAAAATGCTTTAGCCACTTGTGCAGAAGATTTATTGGTTAAAGCAAAACTACGACGAAACCTAGTAGCTACATCTTTTATTACAAGCCTATGCTTATAAATTCGATTACTTATTTTATCATAAGGTATGGGAGTAGTATCAGATTGATGTACATTATTTAGATCTTGTATATTATTAAAAGAAGCATACTGAATAAACTTTGGTCGAGGCTTGTGAATTTGATACAAAGCTTGCCTGTTTAACTAATTTTTAATCTCAATAAGAGAAAACCTATATTTGGCTTTCTTGCAAGCATCCAGCATTTTTTCAGCAGTTCGATAATAACCCTCTGGTCGGTAATAGAGCTTCTGCAAAGTAAAATCCCGATCAAGATCACATGCTCTCTGAGGATCGATATAAATAACCAGTTCTTCCATACTAATTCTCTTTTATGGATTTAGCAATTTCTCAATCAATATAATAAATAAAAAAGCATGGAGAAATTGCAACAAAGTAATCAAGAACTCCATGAGGTAGTATTCCAATTAGCAGAATCAAATAGGAATTTCAAACAACGATTATATACCTTAGAAAGAGTTATTGGTATACGGGAAGAAAGAATTCGATTTCTTGAGGAAGAGTTAAATAACGCTATCGAACTTTCTAAACAAGACAAAGAAGAATTAATAGAAGAAATTTCAAAATTAAAAAGAATTGTCCGACAGCTCGAAGAAGAAAATAAAAAGAAAGACAAAGAAATTTCCAATAAAGATAAATTGATATCAGAATTCGATGAACATGAAACCAAATTAAAAACCCGAATACGAGAAATATCAAAATCTGCAGGTAATACCCCCAAAGCGCAAAATTATACAACCAGATTAGTGGATGAGAATGAACGTCTTAAATGAGAAATAAATATGGTAAGAACTAATCAAATAAATAGAATTAACAAATTAACCCAACAAAAAAACTGTATTACAGATCTGCTTTGTCAAAATTTTGCATTAACATTATTGAGATATAGAGATAGGTTAGAGCTTATAAATACACAAGAAGCTTTACAAAACACACGGGCATGGAATTTAAATGAAAATGAAACTGCTTTTGATAAAAATTCTCTAGACTTGTATAATCCTAATATTAACTTAGAAATAGCCACAATCAGAGAGTTAGCAAATGCTATAGATGGTTTTGTAAATAATACAACAACAGATAGGTATATTTTGATAAATCAAATAAAAGGAGCAACTGCTCAAATTCATATAAAAAATAATAATTTACATCGAGATTTGAGAGAAGTAAGACGAGCTCGTGATCAATTGCAACAGGATTTAATTCGTAAGCAACGGAGGCGATATACTGCAGAGGCTGAGCATGATAATGAAATAATAAAAAAGCAAGAGTTGTGAACTAATGCTCAAAATCAAGTAAACAGAATGATAAACTATATAGCAAGAAAGCAAACCCGTATTAGCGAATTGCTATGTGAAAATTTTGCCTTACAAATCTTGTATCGACGAAATGCCCATCACCTACAGCGATGTAGAGGAGATAAAGGTTTATTAGAGTATAATCGAGATAGGCTCTATGAGCGATATGAGAAATGGAAAAATAAGACTCATGCGGAGCACCAGAATAATTTAATTTTAAATCAACAAATTTTTGCGCTACAGAATAACCCACCTAATATACAACGAATAAGAATGGCAGGAATACCACAACCATTTTTTGACTGGGGTGAAAATATACCAGATTTCTTTGCAAAACTTAGATTATACTTGCAAAACCAAGGTGTAGATCCAGCAGACAATGCGAGAGGTCCACTAACAGGAAGAGAAGTAGCTATAGGATATTTAAAAGGATGTATGAAAGGAAGAGCTTTAGAATGGTTTGACGAAGAGATTACTACAAAACAGAATTGGGAATTAGCAAACTTACTTGATAATATGGCAGGCTAACTTAGTAACTGTAAATGGGCGAACAGCAGTTCAGATAGGAAATCAAGCATTGAATGAAGCACTTGGCCAACCAGGAACTGCAATAGTCAAGTTGAGAGCTGTAGAAGGTCTCTGGGATGAAGATTGGCGCATAGCAGATGGTCATCCTACCAACAATACTGTTAATGCACCAAATGCTAACAATGGTACTATGGTAGTTGTAGCTGGTATTTGTTTCGGTCAAGCCATATGGTGGCTAAAAACACATTTTCCTACAGTGGAAAAGGAGCTTCGGGATTTGATGTATGGAACAATCAGGAAGGAAGATATGACTATAGATGAATTATATAGAAAATTATTACGAATAGGTAGACGGGCCAACTATAGGCCTGAAGAATTACGTAGAAAATTTTTGGATACTCTTCCACTCCCATGGCTTAAAAAAGCTGAGGATATCGGTAAGCATTTGCTATTAGATGAATTGGCTAAAAAGCTATATGAGATAGAGTTACACTGAATAGCTAGACATAAAAGAGATAAAATACTCAATCTATTAGTATCTCGGCAAATATATAAACCTTTACCCGTTCCGGCTTCTCAACAGCAAGGAATGGCAGATTTACAAAAAATATTTCAGGATGCATTTGCACAGCAAAAAAGTGAAAACCAGTTATTAGAAAAGAAACTTACCGAATTGCAATCACAAATAGCCCAGCAATCAGTTGCTCAAAAAGTACAGGCACTGGCTCCACAAACTGTCGAACCAGTTAGACAGCCAAGAGGGCTCCCATTTTCACTAAATACAGAAGAAGGCATGAAAGATTATTACATAACAAAATTCTTAAAAGATATAGGTATCTTTAGCCAAAAAGAATTAAACTCAGATTATCCTATAAAGCCTTTTCAAAGACCTTGTCCACAGCGAAGCAATGTCTCTACTAGGATTGATAGATTGAAAGAAGGGATTAATGAAACTCAGGATACTGTAAACCAGTTAGCCGATCAATTTCAGAGAAAGGTATATATACGAAAATGTGATATTTGCGGAGAGACGGGCCATAACAAAGGTAGTTGTCCCAATAGACAGATAGCACGATCTAATTTCAATCGGTCTACTTATTTTAAGCCTCTTACACCTATAAATTTCCAAAATACACCTCCAGGTTCAGATAATGAAGAAGATGGTTATGATGAAGAAAATAATAGATAGACCGGGTATGATTCGCCAGTAAAAAAAAACAGATACTAACAGAATCCAGTCAGCCCGAAACGTATAATGAGCTGTTGCCAAAACTTTCACCAGCAATGTGCAAAATGTACTTATATAGAAAGGTTCAGAAAAAGGAATTAAAGAAACCAGATGAGTGGTTTTCATCTTTACAATACTTACATTGTAATATAAATGATCTAACAATTTCTGATTCTTTTTTGGATACCGGAAGCAAGTTTGGAGGGATGAATAATCCAGCAATTGATGTGCTTAGATAGAAGAGTGATAGCCCATCTAATTTCGCAAATACAGGGCAATTCCAAGAATATTACTAATTCATTAGGTTGGTTTATAGATGTGCCAATTAGTATAAAGGATAAAGATGGTAAAACTGTTATAATTACTGGAAACTTTGCGCGTATTGATAATGGTGAACCTGAACCAATGCTATTTTTAGGTATGTCAAACATTCGAAAGGTTCAAGGTGTTCCTGACCTAAATAAAAACCAATTTCACATAAAAGTTCATAGAAAATCTTATATTATACTAATATTTAGCAGAGCTCCTGTGGTCAAAGATCCACCAAAAGAGGAGCAGGACCAAGTATCCACTAATTCCTCTAGCCTGACTAGTGAAAACTTAAAAAAAAGTGCATAAACTGTGCAAAGCTTGAAGAACGTCTTGCAAAAGCTGAAAAGTGGCTTGGTAAAGCAATAAGTACTATAAAAATACTTGTCGAAAAGAAGTAAATTATTTAATTTTATCTATTTGTTTTAATACCTTTTCAAGTTCAGACCCCATTTTAGATAAAATATCAGTATTGTTAGTGGTATTAGCGCTATGCTGTGAAGGCACCTCTGACTCTGTCTTAGTAGAGGCTACACTTGTTTTGCCTATTTTCTTTTTTCAGTTATTTTTCTTTAGTAGTAAGGCAGATGGAGAGGAAATATCAGGAGAATAATCTCTCTCAAGTCCTCCTACATAAGAGCTCACAGAGGGGGTGGTTTCTATAGAAACCCCTAAATCTAATCTCGTATTAGAAATATCAACTATTGGCTGATTCCAGGCAATTCTATTAGCTTCTTTACCTCTCCAAATCTGATATATGTGTTTCATTGATGTGTTATATTTATGCATTAATTCCTCTAAAACTTTTTTCCTTGGCCTTTCATTTTCATGTTGCATAATAAAATCGTAATCAGCTAGTGAAAATAAAGGCGCATTACAATTTATACATTGTCTAACCATAATCGGGATGGTGTATTTTTTTTCAAATAAAATATTTCAAAAAAAATATTAAATAGAATAAATAGAAAAAATATATTCTTTGAGATAAATAAGATAAGCGTAGTCTTTTTGATATTTAGAAAAAATGCATTATTTCAAAAATAATTTAATAGAATAATTAGGATAAATACATTAATTTGAAAAAAATTTATTAGGATAATTGGAATAATTAGGATAAATGTATCATTTTGGAAATATAGAAAGATTATATTATTTCAAAAATATTTTTATTTTTTTTTTATTTATATTTGCGAGATAAAAAAAACTATGTCTCAAATCAATAACTTGAATGATGTAGGAAATACTAATGGTAGTAAGCTTGGAAGCTCTTCATCTAATCAATATCCACCTAGTCATTTAGAGCTTGAAGAACGGCTAAAAAAAAGATCGTGAAATGTTTATAAGATCTGCCAAACAGCTTATAACTAAATATCATGTCTTAGATAAAGAAAATAAGCGTATGCAAAATGATCTAAATCACTTACATGAAGAAAAAGAGCATATGCAAATTTCTATAAATCAAATTGCCCCCCTAACTAAGCAACTAAATAATGTGAATAATAAGCTTATGGTCCAAATTACTTGTGAACGAAAGTCTCGTGCCGATCTTAATGCCAAACAGTTAAAAGAAATAGAATCACTAAAGTCTAAGATTAATTTACTAGAAAGCTCACTATCTTTAGCACAAAAAGCTTCATTTTTAAAGGATTCTGAAATTTCTTTTCTTGAGGCTAGAATAAATAAACTAAAGGCTGAGTTAGAACAAATAGCGCAAAAAGCTTTATTAAAAGATACTGATACTACCCAGTCTCTTCACGAGATTAGAGTGAAGGAATTGAAAAACGAACTAGAGCAAGTTATGCGAAATTCAACATTTAAGGATGGATTAATTTTCTGCCTCAGGTCTAGAGTAAGTGATCTAGAAGATGAACTAGAAGAGATCTCTCTAAAATTAAATCTGCCATCTAATTATTTAAGAATAGGTGGCGATGCTATAGAAGAGGTATCTAGTTTCTCTAAGACCCCCTCTTTTTCTTTATATTACTCAGAGCTTAACCCCGATGAATGCAATGTAAAAGAGGTAATAGAGCCCCTGATAGACCATGCTGATCAAAAATCAAAAGAGAAACTCGATAGTATTCAAGCTTTACCTATTGTTACATTAGGAGTCGGCAATGCTTTAGTTAATGATCAGTATATAATTTCACCTATATTTAAGCTTGTTATTTTAGCCTTAGTGATAATATTAATTATATGGTATATATACAGGCAAATTTTTCAACTAAGTGCGCCTTCTCATAATAAATCACTCAAAGCCACTCAAATAGGTAAACATATTTCAAAAAAAGAACAGAGTAAAAATAGTTTTTTTCACCAGCTCAAAAAACATTAATTTATTTTTCTTAAATATAGATAATTATTTTGTGACTTCGAGCAGGAACTGCGAGAAGGCGGGTAAAAAACAGAGTTATAGATATCTAATCCATCATGCAGAAGAATTCAAAAACAGAAATATCTCTTATAAAACTTCGTCTTTTGGATATGAATGAAGTTACAAAGCATAAATCATCCCAAAATATTGGTCATTCGGCGATGACATGGCCTTTCAGTATGTTAGTCAGTGGGAGGAGTGGTACAGGTAAGACTAATTTACTTGCAAATCTTGTTCTTGGTGATAAGGATGAATATGTGCAAAGAGGGAAAAAGAGTGGGTTTCGCTACATTAAATGTGACGATCTAATTATTTGCGGGTATCATCCCGATGAGCCAAAATGGGCATATGTGAGATATATATATAATCTAATTTCAAAAGACCCAAGAGCACCTTACTATAAGGATATTAGTTTTAGTTACATTCTTCCCGAAAAATTCCTAGTACAAGAACTTTCTTACCTGAAAGAAGCAAATTAATTATTATTGAAGATCTATATTTAGCTCCAGAGCATATACAAAATCGAATTGGTCAGTTTTTTAGGAATGGACGTCACCGAAATATTTCAAGTATATATATAACGCAAAAATATCATAAAGTCGATACATTCATTTATGAAAACTCAACTCATTTAATATTATTTAACTCTGGTAGCAGTATTCAAGACGTATCTAAGATTGTTGGACGATATACTGATGATGTAAAGGGCGCATCCATGGTTATTAATAGCTACCTCCGCAAAGGTGAGTTTGTTGTATTTGATCTCACTAGGTCAGAGGATGATCCTCTAGCAATTCGGCTAAGATTTGATACACCGTTAAACCTGCAGAAAGAAATAGAGGCAAGGCAGAAGCGGAAGGAAAAAATGCCTCAGCTAATTCATAAAACTTTTTACTGCGCTCTCGCAAGCTCAGAGATGCAGAAATTGATTACCTTTGACACATCTATAACTGATAGTAGTTTGCATACGATGTGTACGAAGAAAAGGCATCCAAGTAGATAGACTCAATTAAATATATTTATTCGTTATATACTGTAGTCCGTTTACTGTTTTCCTAATGCTATTCTTGAGATCACAATTGAGAAATAAAATTTATACATTAATATTTACCACTGACTTTTTGCAATTCTTGCTCAAAGTCAGAAAATAAAATTACTTCACTTTAGTGAAGGCTTGCAAGAAAAAACTAGATCACTATATTTTGTTTTTCGAGCTTGCGAGAAAAACTGATATATGCAAGAAAGTGTCGATATGAAATAAAAATCTATGAAGTGTATATTTATATTTTTTTTTCGTTTTTGGCTATGTACAAATTTGAATCGCGATATTCCTTAATATAGGTTGATAAAGAATCACTATAAATCACTAAAAACGCTACAAATCGTTAAAACACTAAAACAATAAATTATTAATAAATATGTCTAGTCAAACTCCTAAAATCATTATAGATGAGGTTTTTAATAAATCGGTACCCAAACCCATTAATCTTTGTCCAGGATATGATTTGGAATATGTCAAAAAATATTATATGGAATGTGGTAGTTATAACTATAATTGTGTTGAAAATATATACAAACTAAAAAAAAGATATGATGATTTAGCTATCATTAGACCCTGTAAAACACCTCAACAGTGGGCTATTTGTATAAAAGATGACTTGCAAGAGTTACGTTCTAGAGAAAGGCATAGTATATTTTATACACACTACCTTTTTAGTTTATTTGGACAAGGATTAATTAGGACGTACCTTGAAAATCACAGGCCGAAAATAGAGCATATTAGCTATCAAAGACCCAAAGTTCATAAAAGTCAGATAGCTATATGTTTCAAATGCTGGCGATTGGTAAAGATTACTGAAGTAGAACCAAAAAAGGTATATTTGGAAGGATGGCACCGATACGGATATGAGATTAAATCCAAGGACTTGATACAATATCATTGGAATAATGAATACTTCAATATCGAAATTCAAGGTGAGTCAAGTTTATTGTCTCCTCCTCCATTGCTACCAAAACCCATTACATTAATAGGCAGTCTTTCAAGATACATATATAAACATAATGCAAGTGCACTCAAGATTAAAAATCTCTAGAACAATCAATCAAATATGCCTAACATTTCTAGCAGGACTAGTTTAGACAACTTTGCCGATGCATATTTCGATTCTGTGCGAAAAAATGCAAAGGAGATAGACTTAATATCTTTCGATTAAATATTAGCATAAATTTATTTGTAATAGTTGTCCACCGTTTTCCTAATACCATTCTTGAGATCATACTACTACCTTGTGATTTTATCGCTTGAAGTCAGTCATAGTTGATTAAGAAGCAAGAGAAAAAATAAATAAAAATAAATAAAAAATTGATTAAAATTATATTTTATGTGAATGCACCTTCTCGCAGTTCCTGCTCGAAGTCACAAAACAAGAAAAATATATACGTGATTTTAGGCGAACTTGGTTCACTGAAAATTCTAGAAATATATTTGTGTCTTCGAGCAAGAATTGCGAGAAGACAGGAGCTAGCGAAAAAAACTTGCGAAAAGGCAATAGAAAAGTTTCTATAATTTTTTGGAAATATTTTGTAAAATTTCTATTTTGTTAAATTTCTATATTTTTATCTGGCTTTGAGCAAGAATTGCGAGAAGGCTGGTCAGAGACCCTATCGTCAAGAGGTGAAAACTCAAGCGAAATTTTTTGCATAACTATACATACCCGTAAACAAGTAACCTGGGTGGTCGTTCTATCAACACAAAAGCGATTCAACATAAATTAACAAATTTGAAATGCAATACATACCCGGTTTAGGTCGAATATAACTTTACTAATCGATGACAGTATAGTAAGGTTAAATTTTGTTTATAATTTTTTCTGGTGGATACATTCAATCACTCTCTGTGGTGTGGTTCAGTTGTTTAGAAAGTCTGTATCACCTTCCTCCTAATACACACCTCACATCGAGGATGACGATCACGCCCAGGGCAAAAGAAAAAAAGGTATATCTATTTATTTAGATTTTGAGATGGATATATTCAAACTATTTCTTATCTAGTAGTTCGGTGGACTAACCACGGGAAGCTCGTTCGGTCTTCCTCTCCTTACAACAGAACAATAATAGTTGACGATCGCGCCCTCAAAAAGTGTTTTATAATATGTATATAAAGAAAAATAAATTTTAGGGAGGTAATAGTTGGATCCTAGGCCTGCCCTGAAAGGCTATAACTACACCTGAGAAAACTATATTATTAAGGGCAACTAGATTGTATATTTTTTGCGGAACAAACAACTACCTTCACCAAAGTACTGAGCTACCAAACGGTAATTATGAGTATGTTAAACCTCACAACACACTTAGTCAGAGGCCCTATCGCTTCAATAGTTGAAATGAAATTTTTTGCATAACTAAGTATACTCGTAACAAATAGTTATGGCAATTATCTTATCAACACAAAAACAACCTAGTGTGAAAAGGTGAAATATCAGTAAAAAAAATACTTTAGAAGGATTTTATATCGATGTTATGTGGCTATGAAATTATGCCATATTTGGTTATAAATAATTCAATATCGTGTACGTGTTGTAGTTCTATTTTAACACAATCAATTATGCAAGATTGGTTTTAAGATTAACACATATAAAAATAAAACTGTATTAGTATTAGGGCTTGGGACTAGTTTGCATAATTAATATATGATATTTGGAATTAAAAAAGGACTATCGCTATATTGTACATGCACTGTACGTATATGAAAATAAGATAATGATAACAAATAAGCCATAAATATTAATCATTGTAAGTTTATATAGCACAGCCATCTCATAAACAATTTTTTATCGAATTTGCTTAACTACTAACCCGAAAATAGAAGCTTCATAATCACGATTTTTTATCGGCTCATATGTCAAAAAATTTGCTGGAAAAAATAAAGTACTTATTATATTATACTAATCATATGTCTTAACGGTTCCACAGGTCCATTTTCTGCTTAAGCGTCAAATATTCAGGTTTATCAGTTCGAATGAGCGATAAAACCTTGACCGGTTTTAATAATCAATGGCCTGCATTAAATTTTATGCGGTGTCACTCTCTTGCAGAATCATTTCTCACGGTTGATTTTTATTAACGAATATCTAAAAAGCCTTTTCTTATTATATATGATACTGCGATAAGAAAAAGTGCAAATGGAACTTAAAAGGGCTATAATAGGGAAGAGTACAACTTTCTTTATCAGTGGTATTATCAAATTTCATATGTCGCAGGAACTTGGAATTCACAGATCGCTGGGATCGTTAACTTTTTCACTTCGCAGAAGAGATTGTCGAATCTAAGGGGGTTTAATTTCACCAGAAAAGCGACAAAATAGATTCAGTATTTGGAACTTATGACCGAGTAGACTTGCTTTACATAGTGGGATCTAAGATTGCGTTATCCTACCACAACTACTAATTATGTAATTTTTTTTTTTTTGGAAGATTTTTAGATCTAGCGATGGTATAAAAATACAAGTTCCCACCTTAAGATAAGTTAGCAATAACATTATTTTTTGCTCATATATATTTTTTACTTAATAACTTGCCCGTATTTTTAAAAGTAATATACTATTTAATAGAAACTAAGAAAATCGAATTTTACTTACTATATGTTTTTTATTTA